ATGGTGAGGGGACTGGAACATCTCTCCTACGAGGAGAGGCTGAGGGAGTTGGGCTTGTTCAGCCTGAAGAAGAGAAGGCTGAGAGGGGACCTAATAAATGCTTATAAATACCTCAAGGGTGGGTGTCAGGAGGATGGGGCCAGACACTTTTCAGTAGTGTCCAGTGACAGGACAAGGGGCCGTGGGCACAAACTGAAGCACAGGAAGTTCCGTCTGAACATGAGGAAGAACTTCTTCCCTTTGAGGGTGACGGAGCACTGGAACAGGCTGCCCAGGGAGATTGTGGAGTCTCCTTCTCTGGAGATATTCAAGACTCGCCTGGACAAGGTCCTGTGCAGCCTGCTGTAGGTGATCCTGCTTCGGCAGGGGGATTGGACTAGATGACTCACAGAGGTCCCTTCCAACCCCTACCATTCTGTGATTCTATGTAACTGTGCTTTGGCCCCATGCAACTAGACTTTCTGAAAGCTAGAGCCAGCTTGCTACGCATTACTGGAAAAACAGACTTTTATGTTTGTTATATGCTTCAGAAAGTTATATTTTTGTTTCTGTGTCTCTGAAACCCATTGGAAAGATCATCCTGCGTGAAAGTATACAACTAACAAGCTGGTGAAGCTCACATAGCTGGTTTAAGTAGCAGACAGCAGTGTAACCTGTTCCCATGCAATTCCCATATGTCCTCCAGTGTGCATATATAACTTGCTTGATGTGAACAAGTGGAGGATCACCAGTTCTGTCAATAGGAGACCAGCCTTTGTGCTTAAGATACCTGGCATGATTCTTGACTCTAAGTTCAATCCTGAGCAAACCACTTACGCGCGCCTACAGGTTCAGATGTTTGCATTCCAAACTGCAGAAAGAAACCAATTTCACTTCAGAAGCTGTTCATTAGTTTGAAGGTAGTAAACATATCTAAGTCCTGCTCTCCTGCAGCCACTCTCCACCTGTAAGCTCTTACAGGTAATACCACTTCCTTTCTACACAACTATGTTGAGAACATAAATACGCCAGAGACCATGAAGTACTCTAGAAGAAGGGACCAGAGAAGTACTTATATCAAAGGAAATTATTTTTTATTTTAGACTTACTGCACTTCTTGCAAAACTACCAAAACATCACTTGCAGTCAAGATTTAAAATAGCAGTTTAAAACTGCTTCTACTCAGCTGCAAAAATTTACAGATGCAGTTACACAGTTACCTGCAGAGCTTGAATTTTACAAGCCTCTTCTTGCTGAATAGCGCTGGCCATACTCCCCTTCATCTCGTGCAATACAGAATACAGACCATCAAATTCTTCATCCAACTCGCTGATTGCATTCGAAGAGTTTACCTGAGAAGAGAACTGAAACTGCTGCAATTTGTACTGGGAACTATGCAGACTAGTCTTTTCAACTGAAAGGCACATCGCTTGCCCAAACGTGCTTTGCTATGACCACTAGACACCTTGTCAAAAAGGAAAAAAAGCATTAGGAATGATGGGCACCTCCTAAGCAGACTTTACATCAGGACACTGAACACTGAAATCCATGAAAATTCCACGATACTCAAGCTTGCACAGAACCAATACAATTGGCAACTTTGTTCCATGCCAGAAGGCCTTGATTTCCCTCTCACAATTATACATGGATTGCTGCATGTTTATAAGGAGGTAGTTATCCAGTCTCATAAAATTATTTGATACTAAAAACTGCATCAAGAAGCCAGCTGAAAGATGTGCTGGAAGATTTCAATTTCTGCAGTTAACTTGGCTCAGCTTTACCACAAAACAAACAACTTCTGGCTTATTGATAGACTAAAGGAACCTAAACCTCACCCTAGTGTAGATGCTTTAAAAATTAGATCTAACAAGCCCCACAATTTGCAACTGCTGAAATGAGAAAGTGCAAAACATCTTCTCTCAAGGATCAGGGTGGTCTCATTTTTCAGTCTGCCAAGCAGACTAGAAGTCTAAAAAAGATAGATTACTTCCAAGTAACAGAAGTTTGAAATTTTGCATCAAAATCCAGATTCTCTCTTCCATGCAAATCAAATCCTACAATAGTGTTGTGGGTTTGCATGACAAGCTTTTGGTAGCGGGGGGGGGAGGGGGGCTACTGGGGTGGCTTTTGTGAGAAGTTGTGAGAAGCCTCTCCCATATCTGACAGAACCAGTGCCAGCCACTGATTAAGATGGCCCCGCTGCTGGCCAAGACCAAGCCAATCAGCGATGGTGGTAGCACCTCTGTGATAAGATATTTAAGAAGGGGAAAAAACCTGCGGTGAGATGGCAGTTGAGAGAGAGGAGTGAGACTACACAAGAGAAACAACTCTGCAGACACCAAGATCAGTGAAGGAGGGGGAAGAGATGCTCCAGGCACCGGAGCAGAGACTTTTCCCCTGCAACCCGTGATGAAGTCTATGGTGAGGCAGGCTGTACTCCTGCAGCCCATAGAGGTCCACAGTGGAACAGATATGCACCTGCAGCCCATGGAAGACCCCATGCTGGAGCAGGTGGATGCCTGAAGGAGGCTGACCCTGTAGAGAGCCTGCGCTGGAGCAGGCTCCTGCCAGGACCTGTGGACCCCATGAGAGAGCGGAGCCCACGCTGGAGC